TTTAATCTGTCTTGAGTTTATTTTTATTATTTTTAAAAATTCTTCCAACTTTCATTATAAGTTCAAGGGTACATGTACAGGATATGCAGACATGGTACACAGGTAAACATGTATCATGGTGGTTTCCTGCACTGATCATCCCATCAACTAGGTATTAAGCCCAGCATCCATTAGCTATTCTTCCTGATGCTCCCTTCCCCCTCACCCTGAAAGACTCCAGTGTGTGTTGTTCCCCTCCATGTGTCCATGTGTTCTCATCATTCAGCTCTCACTTATAAGTGAGAACATACAGTGTTTGGTTTTCTGTTACTGGGTTAGTCTGCTGAGGATAATGGCTTTCAGCTCCATCTATGTCCCTGCAAAGGACATAACCTCATTCCTTTTAATGGCTGCATAGTATTCCATGGTGTATATGTACCACATTTTCTTTATCCATCTATCATTGATGGGAATTTGGGTTGATTCCATGTCTTTGCTATTGTGAATAGTGCTGCAATGAACATATGTGTGCATGTATCTTTATAATAGAATGATTTTTATTCTTTTGGGTATATATCCAGTAATGGGATTGCTGGGTCAAATGGTATTTGGGTTTATTTTTGTATATGGTGAAAGAAAGGGGTCAAGTTTCAATCTTCTGCATATGGCAAGCCAGTTATCTCAGCACTGTTTATGAATGGAGAGTCTTTCTCCATTGCTTCTTATTGCTGATTTTGTTAAAGATCAGATGGTTGTAGACGTGTGGCTTTATTTCTGGGTTCTCTACTCTATCCCATTGGTCGATGTGTCTGTATTTGTATCAGTACCATGATGTTTTAGTTACTGTAGCCTTGCTGTATTGCTTGAAGTCAGGTAATGTGAAGCCTCTGGCTTTGTGATTTTTGCTTAAGATTGCTTTGGCTAGTCAGGCTCTTTTTTGGTTCCACATAAATTTTAATATAGCTTTTTCTAATTCTGTAAAAATTGTTGTTGGTAGTTTGATAGGAATAGCATTGAGTCTGTAAATTGGTTTGGGCAGTATGGTCATTTTAACAATATTGATTCTTCCTATCTACAACCATGGAATATTTTTCCATTTGTTTGTGTTATCTCTGATTTCTTTCAGCAGTTTTTTTTTTTTTTTTTTTTTTTTTTTTTTTTGTAATCTCTTTGTAGAGATCTATCAGCTTCTTTGTTGGCTGTATTTCTAGGTGTTTTATTCTTTTTGTGGCTATGATGAGGGAGATTGCATTCTTGATTTGGCTCTCAGCTTGGACTTTACTGGTGTATAGATACACTACCGATTCATGTACATTAATTTTGTATCCTGAAACTTTGCTCAAGTGGCTTATCAGATCTGGGAGCCTTTGGGCAGAGACCATGGGATTTCCAGGTATAGAATTCTATAATCTGCAAAGAGAGATAGTTTGATTTCCTCTCTTCCTATTTGGATATCTTTTATTTCTCTCTCTTGCCTGATTTCTCTGGCTGTCTTTCTGACCTTTAAATGATGGAGTTCTCTAAGATTCTATGTTCAATCCTCTTCATGTCTTACTGTAAACATTCCCTCTGGCATTCACATTCAAAGCTTCAATAATATCTCTAGCTCAGACTTATTTCTGAGTCTGGAAAGAAGAGTCTTGCCTATCAGACAACTCCACTTGGAGATCTCAAATGAATCTCAAGCTGAAAATGTTTCAAAATTACTACCTACTCCCCAAACTCACTGCTTTTTCCATTTTTCTTATTACAATGAGTGATACCACTTTCCATCTACCCCATTGCCCAAGCAATAATCCTGAGAGTTATTTATAGATTTGTTTCTCTTTCCTTTCTACTCACATCTAATCAATCAATAGCTACTGTTCATTCTACTCCCTAAACATACCTTATATATTTCTCTTCTATTCTAGCCCTACTATCTCTGTACATTAGAATGGTTCAGATTTTCAGCATCCCTCGCCTGGAATACTGCAGTAGCTTAGTGACTATTTTTTCTGCTTCCAAGATGTTCTCTCCCAGTTTATTTTGTACACTTTCTAATCAAAGCTGATCATGTTACATATAATTCCTCAATGACGCCCTATGTCCTATGGAATAAAAACTACATTCTTAAGCATGGCATAAAATGAATTTCTGTGATTTGTCTCCGTATTCCTGATGGTACCTCATCTTCTCTTACTACTCTCATATTTTATTTTCCAGCAATAATAAATGACTAGTGGCTCCTTATGTAGGCCAAATTGTACCACACCTCCCTGTCTTGGCCTGTGATATTCTCACTGTTGGAGCAGCAGTTCTCTTCACTTCTTTCTGCTCTTATTCATTCTTCAAGTTCCATCTCAAAAGCTACCTTCTCTATGAAGTCTTCCCATGCTTCATCATAGAACCTTAATTCCCCTCTTCTATCCCCCCTCCTATATTGCACATTCCTACAATATAGAGATTAGCTAATTGTTCTTAAATTATTTAAATGAATGCTTTTTTCATGAAACTGTGAGATCCTTGAGGACAGGAACTATATTGGCCCAGTGCCAGACATACAGCCTGTTGACAAATAAGCAAGCATTCAATATATGTTTGTTAAATGTTGACCGTACTACAATATTGATCCTCCTGTTAGTGCAAATGGCACCATAGCTATGCAGAATTACAAAACAAAACAAAAACTTGAAGAACATTAGCTGATGATTGTATGTAAATCCTTCACTACAAGAAAATAGCATGTTTGTCTATCATGATGAGACCACCACCTAAAACTACGTAGGAAAACAACACAAGTCATTATCTCCCATCTTTTGTAAGCAAGCTCTATGTATTAAATTATCTTTCCAGGGACAGATTTTTTTTCTTTACCATAAGTGGTTATGCATATATTTTGAAAACAGTGGTCAAGACTTTTACACTATTTATCTTACAAGAACTTTAGGCATTAATCTTCTCAGAGCTATCCCCTACGCCAGGGCATTTGATAACTACAAATAGCTATTTTAAAACTTCAAATCAAAACATTTTTATAGTAGCAGGCCCCCTAAGGAAATATGCAATGAATTTCCTTTATTTATTTGAGGGCTTTATTTGGCTTAGGCTGACCCCAAAACATAATGCCTTTACATTATAAGCATGAGTTACTGCATCTTATTGACTTTAATGTCATTGTCTTTTGTTTGTGAGCTGTCCTTCTTGATAACGCTAACCGTTAATGGATAAAGTTATTTGGGAAAGAGATTTCATGCTACTCTGAGAAAATGTCAGAGTTGAAAAATCAGCTAGAAGTAAAGACAATAATACCCTAACTCTAAAAATCTGGTCATTCTATCACACTGTTACTGCCTGCACTTACTGGTTCTTCGAGACTCTGAAATAGGAGTGAGAAAACTAAGCTGCCTTCTTAGCTCTCACGGGTGGTGTGAGGATTAGGGAGATAAGAGTTAGACTGTAGAGCTCACCAGTAAACAGATTGGAGTTTCTCTCCTTTAATAGCTAACGCAGAATGTTTTGGTAAAACCAGTGAATTTGTTACCAGACGGCTCAAGCTTTGTCCTCTGACGCATCTTGGAGGCCACAGAGGAGTAGGGGTAGTTCTCCCCAAAGCAGACCTAAATCATGGTCATGAGTTTTGCACTTGTTTTAATGATATTGATGAAGAAAAAATAACTTTTTCTCGTACTAAGTGAATCCGCCTATTGGGACCCATTGGAAGAGGAAGAGTGAAAAACACGAGAGAGAAGAGAGAGAAGAAAAAACGAGTAAAGGATATTTGATGGAGGGAAGGAAGAATGAGAGGGGGTAGAGGAAAAAAGAAAGAGGAAAAGGGCAGAGAAAGAAAGAAGAAAAAGTGTGTGTGTGCGTGCGTGTGTGTGTGCGCGCGCAGGATCGGTCTGAAAGACAAATGGAGGAAGAGGAAAAAGAGAAAGATAATAGGAAATATCGAGTAGATTCTCTAGCAGCTCTCACCTGCCAAAATTAGTGGAAACAAATAGCCTTCTCCCTAAAGTTCTCTCAAGTTATTTTCCCTTGAACACGAGATAAAATGTCAACATTCTACTAGGAAATTTAATACTTAAGACTGTATATATTGTCACTTGCCTTCCACTTATTCATAAGGATTTCACCATTTTAGAATAAAAATAATTTTATTTAAAAGTGCTGACTCTGTTAGACCATAACATGTTTCCTCTAAGCAGAACAAATACCAAAGCAAAGCTCGTTTTTATTTTCAGAGTAAGATGCCACTTTCAGAAGAGGTGGAATCCACGCTGTTCTTTTCTCTGACTAATATGAATGAGTGATCCTACCCAGTGGAATAGGTGGGCTTCACAGAATGAGGCTGACCAAGACTGTAGATTCAGCATTTAGTAGATGTCTTGCCTGCATCTATTTCCTTCTTCTCTCTTCCCAGCAGCCCCTAGTTTTCTTTTGGGGATCAACAAAATTTTGTGGAAGCTGAACTTACTGCATGCCATTTAGGGGTAGAGTAGACGGCATAGGCCAAGCCCATCATCACATCCTATCCCCTTGACTAGAGCAATAGAATCAAGGGTAGATGAGTGAAGTGAGCAGTACCAGTGATTGTAAAGGCTTTTCTGGGAATGCTGGAACAAAGTAGCTCTCTCTGCCACACACACACAAAAAAGTAAATGAATTTTGGATCTGTGAGCAGCCATCTTGGGAGCAGGAGTAAAGCCAGCTTTAGGATGAAGCTGACTGGGAAGAGATGAAAGAACTCAAGTTTTGGGGATATCTTTGAGACATTAAATAAAGCCTCATCTAAGGTACCTTTATCTCTGGGATTTTCAGTTATGTGAGCTGATACATTTTCTTTACTGTATTGCTTACTTTCAATCTGGGTGTAACCTAAATGTTTTCCTTCCAGTAAAGGGTTTTTGCTGCCAGGAAGAGCCATTAAGATGCTCTGTGTTGGCTGGGGCGGTAACTCATGCCTGTAATCCCAGCACTTTGAGAGGCCAAGGGACGTGGATCATTTGAGGTCAGGGGTTCGAGACCAGCCTGACCAACGTGGTGAAACCCCATCTCTACTAAAAATACAAAAATTGACCAGGTGTGCTGGCGGGCACCTGTAATCTCAGCTTCTTAGGAGGCTGAGGCTCGAGAATTGCTTGAATCTGGGAGGTGGATGTTGCAGTGAGCCAGGATCATGCCAGTGCACTCCAGCCTGGGCTACAAAGTGAGACTCTGTCACAAAAAAAAAAAAAAAAAAAAAAAAAAAAAAAAAAAAAAAAAAAAAAAAAAAAAAAAAAAAAAAAAAAAAAAAAAAGATGCTTATGCTTTGTGTTGTAATGACGACCTTTTTTTCCTGAGATGGGGTCTCACTATGTTGTCCAGGCTGATCTTGAACTGCCAGACTCGAGCTATCCTCTGTCAACAAAAACCTCCAGAGTAACCAAGACTACTGGCACACACCACCACACCTTGTCTAATATTTTACTTTTTTCATAGAGACAAGATCTTGCAATGTTGCCCAGGCTGGTCTCAAACTTCTGGACTCATGTGATCTTCCTGCTTCAGCCTCGTGAGTAGCTGGAACCACAGGTGTGAGCCACTGCACCCAGCTGACCATTCTTTTTGACAAGATCATGAGACAAGCAGCAGCAGGATCTTATGTTGGGAAGGTACTTTCAAATGTAGCAGAAAATAATATCTCCAGATGTTGGTCTAGGGCTTTTAGTCTATGTTCTTCCAAGAATCCCTCTTGTCATAGGATGTTAGACCCTTTTCATGATTAAAAGTCTATTTTAATTTGCTTCAGATTTATTCATCATCTATCCTATATGAAAGAAATTAAGGAATAAAAATTCACTAACTAAAGAAATAGCCTAATATGAATGTGAGAAAGGTTTATTCCAGCCAGAGTAAGTTTTTCATGGTCAAAAGTCAAAGAAGAGTGTAAAATTTCTTTCTATTTCACAAATACTCCTGGAGTTTTAGCTTGTGCCAGGAGGCCTGCTGGATCCTATAGGTACAACAGAGGCAGGTAAGACATGGTCCAAACTTTAAGAAGTGTGTAGGCCAGATGCTAAAGGTTAGACAAGGGCTTAAATTAGATTAGCAAGAGGAGTTAATATTAGCTGCTGTTATGATGGCATAAAACAAATATCATCATACAAGTATAATATGGTTTGAAAAAATGGGAAAGACCACATGATTAGGGGAGAATGGGAAAGGACAAAGGCAGGATTCATGGAGCTGCTGGCATCTGAGCTGGGTCACGGAGAATAGCTGATTCAATGAATCCCTCCTCTCACAGCACTCTGTTCCTTTCTTTCTTTTTTTTTTTTTGAGATGGACTTTCGCTGTTGTTACCCAGGCTGGAGTGCAATGGTGTGATCTCGGCTCACCGCAACCTCTGTCTTCTGGGTTCAAGCAATTCTCCTGCCTCAGCCTCCCGACTAGCTGGGACTACAGGTGTGCGCCACCATGCCCAGCTAATTTTTGTATTTTTGGTAGAGACGGGGTTTCACCATGTTGACCAGGATGGTCTTGATTTCTTGACCTCGTGACCTACCCATCTCGGACTCCCAAAGTGCTGGGATTATAGGCGTGAGCCACCGCGCCCGGCCCTGTTCCTTTCTTTCTTAGCAGTTATTCACAATTAGTTCTCACATATTTATTGGCCTGTTTATTTATTTGATGATCTAGGCTTTAGATTCCATGAGGCGTATCCTATGGTCCCCCCTGATTTGTTCCCCATTATATTCCCAGCACAAAGCTCAGTATGTGATACTTAGTATGTAGTCGATAAAAATCTGTTGAATCAACAAATGAATGGTCAGATGAGTGACAGATTGCAGTAGATCCCATTACGAGATGCCTGTTAGGTAACAACACTGCGGTAAGCACATAGCTCATCAAATTTAAGATATTCAGGAATGATACCAGATACATTTATGATCAGTTTTATAGAGGAAGAAATGGAGCCTTATAAAAGATAAATAACTTGTCCAATGTCATATAACGAACACATGGCTGTAGCCATACCAGGTAGGTCTAACTCCAACGTTTGTGTAGTGAGTCACTGCACAATATTGCCTCCTATTTATTTGGTACTTATGCATACTCATCATTTGACACACATTATCTCATTTCATTCACAACCCTGTGAATGAGGTAATAACTCATTTAATAGATAGACAACAGATTTAGAGATGTTTGTTCATTCACTCAACAAATATTTAGATAACCTATCAAATGCTAGGCATTATGCTGCCCTCGGAGATAAAATACTGAGACAAAATAGACATCATCCCTGCCCACGTGGAGTTTGTGATCTAATGGGTGAGCAGATGGTAATCAAATGTGTATCAACAGTCTGCGGGAAGTGCTGTGAGGGAACGTTAGAGGGTGTCATGCGGGGTGTAGTAATGAGGGGAACCAGCAGTGACCAAGCATCGCTTCCAACTAGGCCTATTAGACTCCAAAGCCTTCAGTTATTTTTAATTCAACGAAATTTTTTTTAGAGGTTGGGGCTTGCTCTGTCACTCAGGCTGGAGTGCAGCCTCCAACTCCTGGGCTCAAATGATCCTCCCACCTCAGCCTCCCAAGTAGCTGGGACTACAGGTGCACACCACCACGCCCAGCTCAAAGCCCACCTTAAAACAAAACAAAACAAAAACACACATATTTAAAAAAAACCCAGGGTGGATAGGGTTTGTACAGGCAAAGAGGAAGGACAAGCATGGCCTCCAAATTGCCACCATCTGGTGTGACTGGAGAGGTAGGGAGGTGTGTGCCGAAGAGAACTCTGAGTAACGAAGCTGGAAAAACGGGAATCGTGAATGTTATGTTAGGGACTCCCGAATGCGGGAGACAAACAAGAACTATCCAAAAGGTTTTGAATAATTCTCAATCAGAGCTGCATTTTAGGAAGAGTAGTCTAAAAAACAGAAACCACTAATATTCATAGAGAGAGAGAGACGTATTAACTAGCTGAGTGTGGCACTTGCAGCCAAAGTTTGAATTGATTTTACGGCTTTTATGTCAGTGTATTAGTTAGGTTAAAGGTTTAGCTTTAGACGGAAGCTTATTTCTCTCTCTCATGAAAGTTTGAGCCGGGATGGCAGCTCTGTTCCAGGACACTGTTAAAGGCTCCTTTTATTGTGATGTGAGAGGAAGAGGAGGAAAAGATGACTTGCCTTTTTTAGGATATAGCCAGTTGGTTGCGCACACACTTTCACTCATTCCACCTTGGCCGGAGCTTAGTCTTATGACTACAGTCAGCAGTGAAGGAGGCTTGGAAGTGTCATCTATGTTTTGGTTGGCTGAGTGCCCTAGGTCAAAAGTCTATGACTATATAAAAAAAGGAGGGGTGTTGATTATGAGGGGCTGGCTGGCAGTCTCTGCCACACCCAGTGCACTCCTCTTCCGAGAATGAGCAAATTTGGTGGTTCATTTACTTTTATTAGAAAAAAAATTTCAAATTTTAAAATAATGTTGATGGTTATTATTAGTCAATTTTTTAAGAAAAATGCTTTTTAGCCAGGCACAGTGGCACATACCTGTCATCCCAGCTATCCTGGAGGCTGAAGTAAGAGGATCACTTGAGCCAAGGAGTTTGAGTGTAGCCTGGGCAATGTAGTGAGACCCCATCTCTGTAAAAAAAAAAAAAGTTTATACATACTACAGAGAGCTAAACAACATTTGGCAGCTTTTGGTTCTATTAATTAACAAAAAAAGCCAAATTCATCCTAATTTAAAATATAATTAACAGGAAAAATGATACTTGAAAATAAATTACCTGTAAAATAAGCAACTGAGTTATATATGATCCAGTTTTATGCCCCAAGACTGCAGAAGATGCTTTTGGACACTTTGATATTAACATTGATATTATTGATATTAATATTTTATATTAGTATTGCATATATTTTCATTTTCCCTTAATTTCCCAGGAAAAAATGGCAACCCATTCCCAACTTGAAGATTTCTCATTGTTTTTACCAAACTTAAAGAATCAGCAGCCGAGAGAGAAGTGCCTCAAATTGTGTATGGGCTGTTACCTTTCCAGTAGGTCCTATAGTGAGAGTTGCCTTCTCTGTGAACTAAAGACAGAAAGGAGACTCATGGGAGGGTCAGGAATGGACTGACGTTCTTCCTGTGTCATGGTTGACAGGAACCCACAGTACCCACTCCACAGATGAAAGCATTTTGGCTGTCTTGGGCAGTCCTTAATTTTAGTTCATTTTCCTGAACCTATTTATTTGATAGCTCATTAATTGCCTCGGAGCAGAGAAAATGTTTCCTTTAAGAAGGTTAAACAAAGAGTTTATTGACATAAGTGAATTGGTTGAAGAAAACATTATTAAGTAAAAGGCACTTATTTAAACACCAAATTAATCATTTAAAGGTAAATTAGAGGTCATATCTCCCCCTAAATAAATAATGTTAACCAGTAATGAGATATCCATTTTAGATTATAAGCATACTTATAGGTTTGGGCTGTTGGCGCAGTGTGTCTTAGCTTTCCAACTTTATTCAGGGCCTGTAATTACACTAATGTTTGGAAATTGCAACATTTTAAACTACAGTATATTTTCTCTACAATATGTTATTTTTCATTATATGATTTTTTTAAAAAAAAATTGAAAGCGTCCCTTTTATCCCAGCAGAAGAGAAGACTTATGCTCTGAGAGAAGATTTTCTAGCAGTGGAAATGGATTCACCTCTGGTGCTGTTTCAAGTTTCTGAACTTATCAAACAGGCTGGTGCACAAGTGCCCTTGGCCTCGCCTTCATAGCTCTGGCTGGGCCACAGGTAACTTCCCAATGTTGTAGGTGGGACTCTGTGCACGGGCCACACCCAACCTCTTTCAGGATGCTTCTGTGTAAGCTTTGGAGACTGAAGAGAAACATACAACAATTTTTGTTGTGCAAATATTGATGTCCCTGAAGTTGTCTGGTGTTTCAGCTTTGGATTTTTCCCTTCCGCTTGGAGGGTGTCATAGCTGCCTACCGACATCCAGCCGTACACCTTTTCCATGAAGGCACATGGGCAGTGCCCAAAACCCTGCTCCACCGCTGGGTTCGCATTAGCCGGCCTCCCAACCACGATGACTGTTCAGTGTTGACAGCTACCAGAGATTCATGCTCCAGGCTCTTCCACAGCAAAACGACACTGATGCCAGCGGCTTTGTTCCACGCCAGACTGCAGTTCTGTTTTTAGCCGGACAGAAGTCAGGAAGTTTAAGGTTAGCTAATCAAATCTGACATTAGCCCACCCTGATGATCTGATCATCAGATGGTCCAGCAGATTCTCCTTTTTCTCAAAATATTTTATTGTGCACTTGCAAAGAAGATGGAAAAAAAGAATCCCAATGGAGGATAATTTGAATTGATCGTTTTTTTTGTTTTTTTTTTTTTTTGAGTGTCAGTTCTCATCTGACTTTTTAAACCTTGTTGAAATCAATTATTCTTGCTGTTATAATAGTCGTCTTGATTTTGCATGTTTTATCAATGAATACTGTTCATCTCAACTCGCTGCTGCCCTTATTTGGGCAACTTATGAGTTTTGAAGGCATGGGTCTAAATTCAGACTTTTCAGCCTTGAGATAACTGGAGATGTCACCGAACAAGCTAACCTTCAATGTTCCTGCTGCAGACTAACCAAAATTATGGTGTCCTCCCAATTGTACTCCCTTTCTTTTTCTCAACAGAGACGAGTGACCCTGCTTATGACAAATTGTACATCAGAAAAGACAGATCTCTATGATGTGGGCAGGCAACATAATTTAAGATTCTGCAGGCTTATGGTCAGTCCATCATTTTAAGGATAAGAAATGTAAAAAGAAAAGTTGGTTCAAGGCATCCTGATACTGCTCATTAACTGGGAGACAAAAAGGAATAAAATAGGACTTTTTTGACGATTTCAGGTCCTCTCCCCGACTTGCCCACTCCACACCCCTCCCCCTGGTTAGACATTTAGAGAGAAAGAAAGGCACTTTGTGTTTAAGGTTAATCAAGTTTCAGTACAATTTTTTTTTTTTTTTTTTTTACAAACTAGAATCACACTAATCTTTTTTTCTTGCTCTAATGTGTGGCTGTTGAAATCCTCAGCTGTGATAAATTAAGCTACTTATTAATCTAATTATCGTACATTCATCCTAGAAACTTTCATGTGACTTGAAAAGGCTATTCAACCTTTTCCCTCCCCTCCTAGAAAGGGCTCAACCTTGCACCAATTAAGATCATTCTGAAGCAAGGCTTTAAAAAAGCTTTCTCTAATCACCCAATGGAACATGGACCAGTGGAAACCAAACTCAGAGCTCTGGGAAAAAGTTTAGCATTCCTTTCTGTCTGCCAACTTTTATGGTTTCATTGCACAAGGGAGGAAGAGGAAGACTTCATTTTCCTATTTAGTTGTTCCTTCGCTGACCTCCAAATAAAGTCCATGTAATTACAGAGCAAATAAAGTTGCAGCATGTGTTTTAAAAATCAATTGCCATTCCTGGACTATAGAAATGTAACAATGCACAGATTTGCCGGAAAATACCCAGCACCAACCATACGAACTAAACCCTGTACTGTATCTGTACAATAGAGTAGTTTTGACCCCTAAAGCACATATTTACTATGCAGATTTTTAAAAGGGCTTCTTTTATGACTTAACTATTGATATTAAAATGTCCCCATCCTAATAAAAGTTAAATTTGGGATTAAAAATATGTTGCAAATGTATCATATCTTAAACATCCATTCATTGCCAAATGCCTTACTTCTTTTTTTCTAAATGATGGCATAAATGGAGCTATTTTACATTCAAATTAAACTAGCTATTAATTTGAATGCAAAGCAGCTCAATGTACAGGATGCAATTTCAATGACAGGTTTACTCCAAGACAGAAAGCAGGAGATAGTCAACATGGGTAAGTCCAAGCAGTTCGTCCCCTACTCTTGGTGCCTGGCAAACTTGCTCACTGTGAATAATTTTTGAAGTGAAGATTAAAAGAATGGAATTATAAAGTATAATTACATTTTATTGAAACTCTAGAAATCAGAAAAAATTCAGCAGGAAACTTTTAGTGAAACATGATGTGTTGTCATTATCATTAAAAGATAAAAGTTCCATACTGTTTTTATCTGTTTATTTGGAAGAAATCCAGCCTTTACAGTTACGCAGGAAACAAAAAACGGGAATGGAGGAGTAATTATTAAAACTGTGTGATTTGTTATCTCAGCTACTGTCTTTCCAAATGGTAATGCGATATCAGCAGCTGCAGACGGTTGCTGATTTCCTCTATTAGTAAACAAGTGCTTTGGAGACCTGTGTGAGGCACTTTAAGCTCGCTACTCCCCGAAGTGCTGTCAGGCTTAACTACTAATCCATGGTATTTCAGAGCACTGGAAATTCATCTTTATAAAACCTGAACAAAAAAGGAAAAAAAGCCTGGAGGGCATGAGCTCCCTCTGGTGAGACAAATGACATGTTCATTTATTAATGAAACAATAACCCTGGAAAAAGGATCAAAGCACATTCCATCCTCACTTTACAATCCCCAATTTTCTCAGGCCAAACCATTTAATTGAGCCATGACAATGGAATACTTAATTGTTGCCTTAAAGTTTTGAAGAAGCGACTTCTTCAGCATCAATGTGAATTTCAGGATTATTATCCAAATATGGCGTAGCCAGATTAAAGATGGTGGAATTTGATTCATCCTCCACTGGGCGGGGGCGCTTCTCGCTGGCAGAAGAGGTGTTCTCTTGAACATGCTTGCAGTGCCCACCTCAGATGCCCTTGCCTTGTGGCTGCTTTCAAAGGTTGCTTCCTCATGATGGGTTCCTTCCTCATGAATAAATTCAGGTTATTTTTGCCATGTCCCCTGGATGTGGGACACAAATGAGGAACAGGAAGGAGTCAATCCCAGAACCCAGACGTTTAAAGAATTTGAGACAACGCAACATGGAGCCCCTGATTAAATCTTGACAGGCCCATAGCCTCCGCAATGGTAATGGGAAATTCACCTACATTCCCTCTGGGTTATTCACCAATTGTGTTTGAGAGTGATTCCAACCACCGAAAACACACATGTAAAATTTTTTAAAAAATTAAGAACTTGCCGGGCGCGGTGGCTCAAGCCTGTAATCCCAGCACTTTGGGAGGCCGAGGCGGGTGGATCACGAGGTCAAGAGATCGAGACCATCCTGGTCAACATGGTGAAACC